CCCTTCTTTATTATTAGCATCATTATGGTTGTTATTATCGCTATTGGCATATTATTATTTTTATTTTATTATTATCATCATCATTTTGCGGGGGCGATGGGGAGGGCCCGTCCCCACCCCCTGGCTGCCCACAGGGAGCTTGGTCACCAAACGCCTCAGCCCCGGGGGGCTCCCCCACACACACCCCCATGCCCCCCCCCAAGGGCAGGGCAGGGCCCCGGGCAGGTCCCATGGGTGATGCCGACCCAAAAGGGGGGCTCCCAGGTGCAGGGCTGCGCCCCAGCCCCGTTTGGGTTTTGCTGGGGCGGCCAGTTTGCCAGCCCCGGTGGGGTGGGAAATACCCGGCACCCCCACGCACCACCCGGCACGACGGCACGGCCGAACCTGTCCCCGCGGCACGGGCAGCCTCGCTCGACGCCCGTGTGCCCACGCAGCCTCGCTCGACGCCCGTGTGCCCACGCCGCCTTGACCGGGCAGGCGGGTTCTGCTGCTCCCCGGGCCCGTGGCCTCAGACACCCCGTTACCATCCCTCTCCCCCACGGGCGGCTGGGCCGGCTCGGCAGCAGGGTGTGAGGCAAACCCGGCTGCTCCCGTGGGACTTTGAACGCGCAGCGGCACAGACGGGACGTTGTGCAAACTCGCTGGGCTGAGAAAACAGCCGCCCTCCCACGCCACGGTTTCTAAATCACACGGCGCGTCAGAAAAAGATTTGCCTGGGAGGGACTCGGTGATGGCGGGGGGAACCGGCTGCCTGGGTCCGGACACGGTTGTGGGGTCGTGTTGGTGGGGCACGGGGTGGGAACGGCCCCACCGCCTTTGGGTATGGCAGCAAAAAGGCATTTACAGAAAGGGTTAAAAACCACGAAGCTGGCAGAAGGGGAGTAACCTGTTGCAAAACAGCCCTGAAACCTTTTCCTCCCCGTGCGGGGGTTTGGTGCACAGGCCGGGGCAGAAGCAGGAGGATGTGCCGCCAGCATCGGGGGGGCACAGCGCAACAAACCCCGATTCAGAGTCCTCGGCCACGTTGTGTAACGCGGACAGATCCTCTTTGTCTCCTTTTTTTTTTTTCCCTTCCCTTTTGAGCCCATTTTTTGTCCTGGCCTAAATCTCTGCCTGGCTTCTCCAGGGCAGCTCCATCTCCCACTGCACCAGCTGCCCTTTTTCATCCTTTCCTGCAGCTTCCCATCGCTCCGCGGGTGACTGGCCAGGCCGGAGGACCTCTCTCCTGCCTAGTGGCATCTTTGTCTCTGGCCATGCCAATGCTAACCCTGTGCCCCGTCCTGGGGACACTGGCGGTGACTGTAGCGATGGCACCTGCCCCGGCTGACGTAACCCTGCTGTGGATTAACCCCCCTGGGAGGCTCAGGGGATAAGCTGGGTGCTGAGCCACTGGGCACTAAATAGGGTGCATGGCCCCGGGTCAATCTGTCCCCTCCCAAGAGCCACTATTTCAGGCAGGGAGGGAACTGCCAGTGGCTCCCGGGGGATTTGGGGGGATGCTGAGGCGGGGAGTGGGGCTTGTCCCCACCTTGCTGCACCCCTGGTGCCGCGGTGGAGGCAGTGATGCCAGAGCCGTGGGCGTTTTCGGGTGGGTGTGGGAAGAGCAGGGCAGGGATAAGCGGTGAGTGGCTGGGAGCTTGTGCCTTAGTTTCCCCACACCGACAGTGGGGAGACTCAGCTCTCTTTCTGGGGGTCACCAGGACACCACCATGCTGGGGGGGTGCAGAAGGAGCTTGGCCACTGCTTGAGTTTGGCAGCTCTTGCTAGGGAAAGGCAGGAAAAGTCCCTACCCTTTCCTAAAATGCTTTGGAGGGCTGAAACGACACATCCAGGCACGCAAGGACAGGTCAGGGCTGGGAAAGCAGCCTGGTGGGGGAGATGTCAGCTCGTGTCTTCTCCACTAGGCCAACCTTTTTATTTAAATACCCTCCCCGTCCTGGCTATCCTTACAGCCCGCTTTCCTGGTGCATCGCACCGCTGGCTCCGGCACCGCCAAAAGCCGACGCCACACAGAGTCAGAGCTGCACGCCGATCCCCGCGTCACCCTCGGCAGCCTGCCAGAACACCCCAACCCAGTGGGGTACTGAGCCCCCCATCACACCCGTGACCCCACATCATCCACCAGCACCTTGTCCGGGCGGGCCGCCCTGGCCAGGCAGCGTCCCACCGCCGCCAGCACCTTCCCCAGGCGACGGTCCAGCGCCCGCAGGTGGGGCTCGGCCAGGACAGGGGCCAGGGGGTCGGTGGCCAGCGCCTCTCGCAGCAGGTCGCTCAGGCGGTAGGGCTGGGTGGCCAGCAGCTGCAGCCGCAGGTAGGTCGACTTCTTGATGCTGCCGAAGATGAGGAGGGAGAGGTCTCAGTCCGGGGAGCCTCTCCCCAACAGCAGCTCTGGGGTAGGCGGTGGGGAGGCCCTTACCTGCAGCATTGCCGGAGGGGAGCCAGGATGGACAGCTCGTCACGGGAATGTGTGCCAAAGCTGCGGGGAGAAGCCCGCAAGCCGGCATCAGGGCGGCATCGCCCTGCAGCTCAGAGCCCAACACAGCACGTGTTTCGGCAAGACTTGTGGTCTCCCCCCATCCCTTTGCCAGGATTGCTTCCCCTCCATCCCACTTTACCCGCGACCGTTGTCCAGGTGGAGCAGGAAAGTGTCGTTCCCAAATTTCTCAAAGGTCTCGTAGTGGTGCCGGTCCATGTTGCCTGCGGCGGGGCAACAAATTTGCCATCGGGTGGTAGGCCAGGAGGTGGGAGCAGGGACCGGGAGGAGCACCCTCCTGGTGCAAGACCGAAACCCAGAGGCTGGGGAAAAGGGCTGGGGGGACCTCTAAGGTGCCCATCTGGTGGCCATGGCCATGGGGGGGGGGACCCAAGAGAAGCCCCCGGCACCTCCAGGCCCCTTCTCATGCCAGCAGCCCCATGGAGAGACAGCAGCGGCAAATGGAGCAGAAGTAACAGGAAAGGCAAAGGCACGGCTGGGCGGCTGGGGACGAGGAGGCGGGAAGCTCTCCAAGTCAGATGATGGCAGGGGGACAGCACGGGGGGGGGGGGAGGGGGAGCCCCAGG